AATGCATGAAGCTAGAATAAATTTTTTTGTTTACAAGCAGATACCCTGTTCTTTTGATGTTTGTATGTTCAGATATTCATGTAACAAAATATATACAAATTTATACCTAAATGGGGACATAGTAGTATACTTAAGGTATGATGTAAAGTTCACTTAAAGAAAACTTACGAGTATACTTGCAGTATGAAACTATTAAACTAGTAGTTTACTGAGACTATACTTCAAAGTGTACTAAAAATGCTACTACAAATACTGTATTTCATTAGTAAACTATCAGTATACCTATAAGTTCACTTTTGATATAGTTGCAGTACAAGCTAAAAGAAATTATGTAAACTAGTTGTGTACTCAAAGTTTACTACTGTTATACTTAAAAGTATACTTTTATATACTAGAAAGTGGGCCAATTTAGTCCCAAGGAGTATTGAAATAGTACACTTACAAGTATACTACTAGTACACTGACATTTGTATACTTACTACATAAAGTATACTTAAAATATATTTGAACTTTACTTAAGTATACTTGATAAAATAAACTTGAAGTATACTACTTTTTGGTAAGGGTAGTAAAGTCGCAGTGTTGATATTGTTTTGGGTTTTACACTTTCTTTGAAAAATCCCTCTAGTGTAAAATATCACATACATCACAACATCTCTGATTACAACCATAGTAATTGGTAAAACAATTGAGATGTACATCCAATGGTCAATAAACAGCATGAAGCATGCCTCAGGGAATACTGTCAGTATTGCTACTTAAAAGTTAAGAGTGTGTGAGTTTAAAATAAGTCAGTTCAGTCCTACCAATGAAAGGTTTCCAAAGAAAATGAAATGTCTCTCCACTTGCTGAGGAGAAATACCTGTTTTGCGTACAATATACAATGAAGTTTAAATCTTCTTGTGATTTGCACCATTTCTTTATTTCCCCCTTTTTTCCAGATATGTCAAGTGGACAAATCAACTGCTCCAAGGTCAACATCAATTACTCCCTGTTTTTTTAAAAAGAAAGAAAAAAATAAAAGAACGACAATGTTACCTCTTGTCTGATTCAAGTGTTTGAATACAACTCAAATGAAAAATCATTATTCAATTCCAGTGACTCCACAAATTAAATAACTTTCACTCACAATAGTGAATATTAAATTCAACCTAGTTGAATTCAGGTGTGTTTAATTAGGGTTGGTGCTAAACTCTGCAGGACAGCGGCCCTCCAGGACCGAGTTTGGGCACCCCTGGTTTAAATTTACAAAATGAATCAGTATGTCGCAGCCTGAATTCATAACCTTAGTTCAACTGAATCGATTTCTCCATTTTCTGTCAGCTCAATCTCAGCCTCTGTGAAATTACAACAGTTAGCCTACATATACATTGTTTGAACAAAATTATTGCTTGGGACAATTTATTAGTCGCTGGATATTGGTAGCTAGCATCTCTACTAAATTCTACGCCCTTGGAGAAATCTCAATTGTTTTCACTTCATTTTTGTATTTGCTGCAGCAAGTAATCACACACACCTACACAACATGTTGATGTGTTTTAGCTGATGTTATTCAAAACCCACCAGATGGCGTCACTCAGTACAATAAATAAAAATGATGCCAGTAGAAAGGTGTAAATATGAGTCAAAACTGTCTTACTGATCTGCACCTGCAGGACAAAACTGTGTGTTAAAAGAATATTTAAAAGGTATTCTGTGTTTAATTTAGTTTGTTTTTATTATTGTTAGGCCTATATGTTTGAATATGCAATATTCAATATATTTATTTAACCAGGAGTAGACAGTGATAGAGGCAGAACACGGTCAAGGGTGAGACCAATTTTAATAAAGTTATACATTTCCATGCGATTAGCTAAAAAATAGAAAATGTACATGAGTTTCTGATGCTATGATAACCACACAATTAAACTAAAACAGAGCAACAACATTTCAGACATGAAGAGAGAGTATGTGCAAAAAAAATTATGAAATCTTAATGTGACACAAGAGCGACAAAAAAACAGAGATAGACGGAAAACATCCTGGCAGAGATTAGATGTGAACTATAACTTATGAGTCGTGGGTCCATATGCTCTAAAATATATTTGATCATTGCTGATTATTTCTGCCGGTATTTCCATAAACAGGCTCCTTTGATTTCTGTAAGGAAACACAAACTCAATCAAGAACCTGCTAATGAGACAGTTAAAAAAACATTTGAAAAAAAAGGATAATATAATAGAATTTAGCTTCAAATTCACTCAGAATGAATATTAACTTGAGTCCAACCTTTACAAGTCCTTATTAAAGTTTCTGCAAAACAATTTCTTTGCCTGATCATGGTTTTAAGATTTGAACACTTTAATTGATTGTCATTCTTGAAACGTGGGACAAAACAGGTCCAGCAAGGGTAACTGCTATTAGGTTTAAAAAATGTATATTTTCAATTTTAATTGTCATGAGGGATTAATAATAGAATGTATTTAACACCATTATTACCTTCAATTTAATTTTCTCATTATTATACCAAATCTATGTTTCTTAATGTCCTCTCACTACATCTAAAACAGTGTGTCCACAGAGAAGGGTTCAATCATTCCTATGCAATAAAATGGATAAAAAAAATTTTTAATGATGAAGCTTGTTTTATCAAAAGCGATCCCGTATTGTTTAGTCACACACTTAATAATATCTCCTATCAAAGCAAGGTTGTTTTTTTAATGACACATGCATGTTTCATAAGATTTTAAAGTTGCGTCCCCACTTTTTGTCAACACCGTCAGACATTCAATAAAATGTAATAAAATTAGGGAATATCAGGGGCAGCCGTCACTCTAAAGGACCCCCTCGCCACAGTCCTCCTCTGCAGAGTACATCAGTGTCAGACAGGCTCTGCTAAGTTTTAGTTTTAGAATATTTTAAATCCTAATGTTAATATTTCCTGTGTCACAGCCATGATATGTCAACACCATCTTCCAATTTCTGAGGAAATTATTTGAAATATTTAGATAATTGTATTCTCCTGAAGCAGGTTCCATTAGCATCTAGCATCAACAGAAAAAAAAGAAAATGGCTACTACATGAACTTGGTTTTGTGAAAGAAATGGCAAACTTGTCAACACCGTCAGATGTCACCACCATAAGATTTTGTGTTCCAATGATATATCAAAATACTTCAATGTGACTCTTGAATAAAAGCTTTATAAACAATAGCATACTCACTGTTTGTTGTGTTTGTTTTAATACAGTAATTGACTGATTCAATGTATTTGATAGTTAAAATGACTACAAATTCAGGTTTTCGTCACCTCCGTCAGATGTGTCAACTCCCTCAGTTCTGTCACCTCTGTCAGTTGAATATTTTGATAATATTTCATTATGATATTTTACATTTGTTGTGGAATTGTTGGTCACATGTGAAAGTGTAATCTGTCTGCTAACACCAGGATGTGTTTTGGAATGTTAAAAAACATCTTGAATGCTGTTAAAGATACACTCTAAAAATGCTGGGTTAAATACAACCCAGTGCTGGGTAAAATAGGGACAAACCTAGCAATTGGGCTGTTTTGACCCAGCGGTTGGTTTACTACCCAGAAGGTTGGGTTAAACATTTAACCCAACCGCTGGGTCAAAACAACCCAATTGCTAGGTTTGTCCCTATTTTTGTCCCAGCACTGGGTTGTATTTAACCCAGCATTTTTTTAGAGTGTAAAGCTGAAATTATATTACACAGTCCAAGGTAAAAAAAAAGCACATTTTGTTAAAAAAGAGAAAGGTTGGGAGGTTGTATCAACACATTGCTCAGTAGCTTAGTACATATAAGATACATAAATGTAGTTTAATTTGTCTGAGGACAAGGTTTTATTTTTTCACTTTTGCACCCTGTTTTGTTCCACTTCTCAAGAATGACTGAGCCTATCTATTGTTTAATGATGGCTGATGTTTACTTGATGTGAATATTTTTATCTGTAGGACAGCCTATATTTTCCTATATAACACCACAAAAAATAAGACTGCAGAGCCAATGGCTGTAGCTGAACTAGGTTAAGCTATGATTAAGCTCCACCCGTTACATCCAGAGAAGGGGTGCTGGACGTCATTTAGCTCTGCAGTGAGCATCACTTGCAAATTAAGTCCTAAACGTTATTAAAAATGTAACACCGTGTTCTATTTTAGTTGCAGAGTAGCGGTTGGTTTACTACCCAGAAGGTTGGGTTAAACATTTAACCCAACCGCTGGGTCAAAACAACCCAATTGCTAGGTTTGTCCCTATTTTTGTCCCAGCACTGGGTTGTATTTAACCCAGCATTTTTTTAGAGTGTAAAGCTGAAATTATATTACACAGTCCAAGGTAAAAAAAAGCACATTTTGTTAAAAAAGAGAAAGGTTGGGAGGTTGTATCAACACATTGCTCAGTAGCTTAGTACATATAAGATACATAAATGTAGTTTAATTTGTCTGAGGACAAGGTTTTATTTTTTCACTTTTGCACCCTGTTTTGTTCCACTTCTCAAGAATGACTGAGCCTATCTATTGTTTAATGATGGCTGATGTTTACTTGATGTGAATATTTTTATCTGTAGGACAGCCTATATTTTCCTATATAACACCACAAAAAATAAGACTGCAGAGCCAATGGCTGTAGCTGAACTAGGTTAAGCTATGATTAAGCTCCACCCGTTACATCCAGAGAAGGGGTGCTGGACGTCATTTAGCTCTGCAGTGAGCATCACTTGCAAATTAAGTCCTAAACGTTATTAAAAATGTAACACCGTGTTCTATTTTAGTTGCAGAGTAGCAACTGCAAATGTGAACGATATTGTAAACGAGCGTGTATCGATATATCGTTTTCCCCGTTCCACTGTGTTACTTTTCTATTGTTTTGGTTTAGTTTATGCTCCGCCAAGCGCGCATGTGGTGTTGCCATGTCCACTTATTATAAGCATCTTTGGGAGTCTTATTTTCTTCCAATACTAAACTGGAGTGTGTACGTGGGTACGGCCGATCATTCACACCTGAACATTGCTTAAAACAACTCCTTGGTAAATAAAAAGCAGACGAGCGCACAATTCTCATCTAACGTTAGTCTCCCCGACCACGGCACACACAGAAGTGTAACGTTACTGTTTTAACCCGCGACTTTCTTCCGGGAAACACGAAGGGTTGTGGAAAACAGAAAGTAATGGGGAAGAAGATGCAATGAATGTTAAAGGTGAGTGAGGCTGACGTACTGTGAGTACTTTGAGCAAAAGACAACAAATAATACCATCACTTTACTGCGTGATAATAAATCTAGCTTTATGCACAATGATTTGAGGAAATACTTTATGCTTAATTGTTTAATATTTTTAATATTTACAATATGTTTATTATTTACAGGTGCAAACCGTGTAAATAGCAAAAAATCTTGTTTTTTTTCCCGAACCGGTTCTTACTGAAGGTAATATGATCAAGCCTGACCCCACATCTGTTCACTGTCTGTCATATTACACACAAAACTTCAGTCATCAAGCTTTAATCAGACTGCAACATCATCTTGCAACACAGTCATGAATGCTCTTACCGTTTTTCGTGGTTTTGGTGTACGCAGTGTTGAATCGTTTTCGTATATCTCGGCGATTATGACTGCATTAACAGTAATCACAGTCATGTTGAGAAATTTCAATCTTATATGGAAATGTATGCCTTCAAAGAGATAACTCTTTCAACATAGGCATTAGTTGCTTGCTTTTCTGACCTCTTTTTCTACGTTCCCAGCAGAAGCAGTACCACATGACTGCAGCTACGATCAACAGAGCTCCAGCAGCAGCAGAAATCAGCACTATGTACAATAAAGGTTGGCCCTGATCTGTAATGAACAAAATGAGCCATTAGTGCGAATGAATCTGTCCATCTGATCTACAACAAACACTATCAAACATCAGCACTGTATAACTGAGAGTAAATCAACGTTAATGTCAGCGCTGCCATACCTGCACATGTGTGACAGAGTTGAGTGATGTCCAGATGTGTGGTCTGGTTGCTGATGGGATTGTTGAGCACACAGCTGTAGGTGTTTTTCTCCTGATATTCCACCTCCAGAGGTAGAGAGAGACTGATGCTGAGATCAGACACACTGATGCTGGACAATAAACTGTTTCCTTTGTACCAGGAGAGAGTCACATGACCCACATTCACCACTGAACACACCAATGAACAATTCTGCTGTGATGATGATGAAGATGATGACGAAGAGCATTGTGAAGAGTTACTGCTGATGACAGGAACAGGCAGACGAGCTGGAAAACATGAGAGAATAACCAACAACTTGGGCAAATCTAGTCAACAATCTTATTTTTGGTGTAGTGTGTTCACAATCAGTGAGTGTTTGTGTCATTTCAAACTATAAAATGATGAAACACTTCAACAGTTACAGGAATATTCTGGTTTCAGTAAACCAGAAGCTACCAGTTAAACTCAATTGACAGAATTTGTAGCATTGAAGGTCACAAATGATCTCTACTCACCATAGACAGAAACACTAAATGTTTTTGATGACAGTTTCTCTCCAGTAATATCTAGTTCATAGAGTCCCGCGTGTTTAGTTGTGATGTTTGTGATGGTCAGAAATCCAGTTTGTATGTCCAGCTTCAGTCTGTCTCTGAATCTCCCATCAGTACCATTAAATGTGGAGAAGATTTGCTGTTGTTTTTTAATTTTAGCTATTACTGACTTTTCAAGTCCAAATTTCCACAGTATGTCGTCAGCTTGTTGTACTTCAGTAACATTAGTTTTTAAAGTAACATAATCTCCCTCCGTCACTGACACTGACTCACCAAACACACCTGATGAACGGATGTTACACAGATTAAGGGCTCTGGTGGTTCACAAAGCCTGAAATCAGCTGTAGTTTGTAACTAAATGTGAATTGAAAAACATTCAGAACAGCAGAACATTCAGCTGTCTGGTGCACAATGTATAAAGCTACAAAGTCAATTACGACATGAAAAAATTCATCTTGATATTGTTAATGCCTCTGTATTTTGTATATGGGACATTTAGATCAATAGATAAACTGGTTACTACCAAAGTATTTTTAAAATAATTTTTAGACAGGATTTGCGTTTGTAAACCTTGAAATTGAAGTTACATTCACTATATCAATTTCCATTATTTTCCATGACATCTGTGACGAATGTTACTGATATTAAGCAAAAAACAAAACATGTATTTATGACTTACCAATCAAATGCCACCAACACAAACAGAACAAAACAAACATGTGAAACATTTTCTTTAGTTGTGAAAAGTCTGATCTAAAACACTTGAGCTGTTCAACTTCTGTGTGAATCCTCCCACGGAAGCACTTGACCCTCCTGTAGTGGGTGGAATGAACAAGCTCTTTAGCTCTTTGCAATGGTTATAAATAAATGCTTGACTGGCTCTTTTTAAGACTATATAATAGTAAACTTTCTTTGTTCTATCGTTCTATCATGAACATTTTCAAAAGAAGATGTTTTAAAGAATGTTGGCAACCAAACAGTTTGCTGGTAGCCATTGACTTTTTTTTTTTACTATGGGAGTCAATGGGGAACAGAAACTATTGGTTTTCTAACATTCTTCAAAAAAATTTTTTATATATATATATATATATATATATATATATATATATATATATATATATATATATACATCGTTCCCAGCAGAAGCAGTACCACATGACTGCAGCTACGATCAACAGAGCTCCAGCAGCAGCAGAAATCAGCACTATGTACAATAAAGGTTGGCCCTGATCTGTAATGAACAAAATGAGCCATTAGTGTGAATGAATTTGTCCATCTGATCTACAACAAACACCATCAAACAACAGCACTGTATAACTGAGAGTAAATCAACGTTAATGTCAGCGCTGCCATACCTGCACATGTGTGACAGAGTTGAGTGATGTCCAGATGTGTGGTCTGGTTGCTGATGGGATTGTTGAGCACACAGCTGTAGGTGTTGTTATCCTGATATTCCACCTCCAGAGGTAGAGAGAGACTGATGCTGAGATCAGACACACTGATGCTGGACAATAAACTGTTTCCTTTGTACCAGGAGAGAGTCACATGACCCACATTCACCACTGAACACACCAATGAACAATTCTGCTGTGATGATGATGAAGATGATGACGAAGAGCATTGTGAAGAGTTACTGCTGATGACAGGAACAGGCAGACGAGCTGGAAAACATGAGAGAATAACCAACAACTTGGGCAAATCTAGTCAACAATCTTATTTTTGGTGTAGTGTGTTCACAATCAGTGAGTGTTTGTGTCATTTCAAACTATAAAATGATGAAACACTTCAACAGTTATAGGAATATTCTGGTTTCAGTAAAACCAGAAGCTACCAGTTAAACTCAATTGACAGAATTTGTAGCATTGAAGGTCACAAATGATCTCTACTCACCATAGACAGAAACACTAAATGTTTTTGATGACAGTTTCTCTCCAGTAATATCTAGTTCATAGAGTCCCGCGTGTTTAGTTGTGATGTTTGTGATGGTCAGAAATCCAGTTTGTATGTCCAGCTTCAGTCTGTCTCTGAATCTCCCATCAGTACCATTAAATGTGGAGAAGGTTTGCTGTTGTTTTTTAATTTTAGCTATTACTGACTTTTCAAGTCCAAATTTCCACAGTATGTCGTCAGCTTGTTGTACTTCAGTAACTTTAGTTTTTAAAGTAACAGAATCTCCCTCCGTCACTGACACTGACTCACCAAACACACCTGATGAACGGATGTTACACAGATTAAGGGCTCTGGTGGTTCACAAAGCCTGAAATCAGCAGAACATTCAGCTGTCTGGTGCACAATGTATAAAGCTACAAAGTCAATTACGACATGAAAAAATTCATCTTGATGTTGTTAATGCCTCTGTATTTTGTATATGGGACATTTAGATCAATTAGATCAATAGATAAACTGGTTACTACCAAAGTATTTTTAAAATAATTTTTAGACAGGATTTGCGTTTGTAAACCTTCAAACCTTGAAATTGAAGTTACATTCACTATATCAATTTCCATTATTTTCCATGACATCTGTGACGAATGTTACTGATATTAAGCAAAAAACAAAACATTTATTTATGACTTACCAGTCAAATGCCACCAACACAAACAGAACAAAACAAACACGTGAAACATTTTCTTTAGTTGTGAAAAGTCTGATCTAAAACACTTGAGCTGTTCAACTTCTGTGTGAATCCTCCCACGGAAGCACTTGACCCTCCTATAGTGGGTGGAATGCACAAGCTCTTTGCGAACGATAAATGGTTATAAATAAATGCTTGACTGGCTCTTTTTAAGACTATATAATAGTAAACTTTCTTTGTTCTATCATTTAACACTGAACATTTTCAAAAGAAGATGTTTTAAAGAATGTTGGCAACCAAACAGTTTGCTGGTAGCCATTGACTTTTTTTTTTTACTATGGGAGTCAATGGGGAACAGCAACTACTGGGTTTCTAACATTCTTCAAAAAAAAAAAATAATAAAAAAATATATATATATTTGTGTGTTAAATTATAAGAAGAAAGAAGTTCATGCAGGTTTTTAGTATTTTTTAGCTTTTAGCTTTTTAGCTTTAGTACAATCAATCTAATATATTTTTGTTAAATAATATTTTGTATTTTGAGATAATTTTAAGGTAATAATTAATGTTATGCAATAATTATTATACATTTTTCCCATTGAAAATAGTACAAAAAAATGTTCTCTAATTTTTTAAAATAATGTTTCAATCAATGCAGCATCTCTGATTAAAATAGAGACTAGGCCTTTAAAATCTATTTTTTTAAGGCAGATTAGCACCTCCTGGTGAGAGCAAAGAAAGATAAACATGTAATTTAATGGTGTAACCACTAGATGCCTGTATAGGAATCTATAGAGAGGCTTTTGAATTCTCTAGTTGTTTTTATACATAATTGTTTACTTTTATTAGGTTGTGGATTTAAATGTATATTAAGGCATTCTCAAAGACTACTTTTTGTCAAGGTTTTTTATATTTTTTGTTGTTTTAAATGTTGATTTGAAGCGTCAGTGTTTGCATTATTATTACTACAGTCAAATCTGAACACAGAAAGCATTTTGTTATACAAAACATTAAAATTCTATAAAAATTTAACAAAAATAAACAGGAAGGCTTTATCAGAGCTTAATCCTTCTGGGTCTGGTCTGATTGTAACCTCTTATTTCAGTTTTCTGACTCATTTTGGCTATATGGTTATAGCCATACCAATTCGTTTGAGTGTGTATAATTGTGTGTGTGTCTGTGAGTGTGTGTGTGAGTGGATGTGTCTGTTTTGCACTCTTGATGTTTTAGAGTGTAACCCCTTCCTTGCTGTCCACTTTTTTTTACTAAATTGTAGTTGAATTATTGATTTTGTTTTACATAGTTGCTGTGTTACAGGCACACCAGTTCATATAGGGGTGTGTTCATGTGTGTACAAGTGTGTGTGAGTTCCCAGGTGAAAAAGAAATATATTTAAATTGTGCTTTTTCAGACATACTTACTATATTTAAATTATACTATACTAAGTGCATAGTAATTGTATTATTTTGAAACAACTTTAAGTATATTAAGTGTATTTCAAGATATGTTTAAGTTGGATTTTAATCTAATTGTAATCTATTTAATATATTGAAATGGTGTTAAAATGGAACCACGTTAAGTATATTTAGTGCAATTTAAGTGTATTTCTTAAAATACATTTAAAATGTCCTTTTAATACTTCATGAACTACAGTTAGAGTATATTTGAAGCATCATTTTAATGTACTTCAAGTACATTATGTACTTTTGTATTTCAGCTCATTGGAAATGCATTAGCATTACACTACTAGTATATTATAAAGCTGCTTTTTTCAGTATATACACACACACACAAGCTATTCACTTATGCACTTTGTTTTTCAAAGACTAAAGATGATAAAGTTCAAGCAGCAGAATAGGCAGGGATGGAGGGGGTTTTGGACAAGGAGATGGCGTAGGGATGGTGAGAGGCAAAAGTGCGGGGATGATGGCAGGATGTCGTCGTCGCAGGTTCCGGAGACCTGGGCACAGTCTAGTCATCCTGACCCCTGGCATACAATATTTTGCACCAGAGCCTTGCAGCTTTAGATTTACTTTTTTTTACATGAATGACTGAAAGCAAGCACAAATTAGCCAGCTGGAATGAACACATTGCTAACGTTTTTCTTCCAAGATTGACCAAATCACCCTCCATTAGGCCTGATTCAAAAATCTCTATAACAGAGGTGATACAACATGAAAATATACTTACTATTCCTTTGCTTATCTCTGCACTCGGATTTCAGTTTGTCTTCTATAGCAGCTGATCTGAAAAAAAACAAATGTTAATATTTTTAAGGCGATAAGGTTGTCAGACTTGAACAAATATAAACACCAATCAACGAACACTACCACAGTTGGCTAATCAGCTCAAGACAAAGTAATCGTATGTTCATAATCATGGTTTTTCAAAGATCATTAACCTCATTACAATGAAGCCAAATTGTTCAGGAAATCAGAAATAAATAAATACACAACTTCTTTTTGCAAATAAAAGAATGTTAATGTTGTACATGTAATGACTAATTTTATTTTATTTATTTTTTTCTGCCAATGCATGTGTCAAAAACAGGACTGGCACAGACAAATAAGAATAATTAGATCTTACCTGAAGTCACAGTGAGGTTCCAAAAGCCAGACGCCATACACGCTTGCAGAAGCTGCTAAAAATAAGAACATACCTCTATATTTACTAATTAATTTCATAGTTCCCCCAAAACAATTTGAATTCTGTCATCACTCACCCTTGAGATGCTCCAAACCATCTAAGACTTTCGTTCATCTTCAAAAGAAAAGCTGAGATATTTTAATACAAATCTGAGAGATTTATGTCCCTTCGATGAAAGAAGATTCACCAAAGATGTTCACGCTTCAAAAAGTTGAAATCGCAAAAAAACATCGCCAAAGTAATCCATATGAATTGCGTGGTTTCCTCTAAGTGCCCTAAAAAGACACGATCGGCGACTGCTCTATATAATACTGTTTAAATTTAGACTTATATTCACATTCAAGAGACATTTGCACGCACATCATATTTTATATACAAAGCTCTCTGGTGTGAGCTTATTATCATACGAACCAATCAGAGCCGTTCAATGGCTTTGGACCCAATCATGTTTAGTCAATGTGTTGTTAGAATTTAAACACAAGTAAATGCAAGTTTTTTTTGTTTTGTTTTTTTCATATATGATGTTGAAAAATATTGTACTTTTCCAAATATTAAAATTATAAATACATACATATTTAAAATATAACCATGTGTAGGCCTACTGCAATATAAAGTACATTAAAAACCCACTAAAAGTGTAATCATTTTGTTACGTTCTTACACAAAGTAGACATACAATATACTTTAAGTAAGGGTAACATAAGTAAGTTTTCTGCAAATACACTAAAAAGTCACTAAAAGTATGCTTGTGTTTAGTATATCCCTTAAAAGTGTAACTAAAATATATATTTATTAACATAGTATTTCTACTATACTTTTTAGAAATATACTAATAGTGTGCTTGTGTTTAGCATAATCCTTAAAAGTGTAACTAAGCACGTATTTATTACCAAAGTATTTCTAATATACTTTTTATAAATACATTAAAAGTATGCTTCTGTTTAGCATATTTCTTAGAAGTATAACAGCATATATTTAATACAAAAGTACTTCTAGTATACTTTTTAGAAATATATTAAAATGCAATTCAATATATTTT